GAGATCCCTCCATACACGTGTATGGAGGGAGGCAGAGTATAACAAAACAAGATCATTCATAAATGTATGCAAGTATGACTAAGTTGAAGTGAGGGTTGTTACATCCTACCCCCCTTAAAGAAGTTTGGTCCCCAAACTTGAGTTACCTTGTTCCAAAAATAATTCTGGGTGTCGGACTTTCATTTCCTCTTCCATTTTTCATGTAGCATCCTCACCGTAATTCTCCTTCCATTCAATTTTCACCATTGGTATCGACTTATTTCTCAATTGTCTCACCTGCCTATCGATAATCCGTATCGGCTTCTCTTCGTAGCCTAAATCTTCATTAACTATAATTTCGCAATAGTCGATCACATGTAGTGGATCTCGAATATACTTCCTCAACATCGAAATATGAAACACATTATGGACTTGGCTCAATCCTAGCGGCAAAGCAAGTCTGTAAGCAGCGAGGTTAACCTTCTCGAGAACTTCAAAAAGCCCGATGTAACGGGGTGCTAACTTACCCTTCTTCCCAAATCTTGTAACTCCTTTCATCGGCGAAATCTTTAGGAACACATGGTCCCCGACTTCAAATTCCAACTCTCTTCTTCTCTGGTCGGCATAACTCTTCTGTCGACTCTGTGCGTTTTTGATTCTTTGCCGAACAAGCTTAATCTTCTCACAAGGGACTTTCAAAACAAGATGTGCAGTTGCATTATAGTCCCCTGGCACTAAGGACTTTCAAAACAAGATGTGCAGTTGCATTGTAGTTCCTTGGCACTAAGGACTTTCCGAGGAGGTCATCAAAACAAGATAATGCTTGATACACAAAATAAGGACAATCATTCATGCTTAACAAATACTTTTCAAAACAAAGCAAAGCAAAGCTCATCAAAACATTGATAACATAGATTTATTAGAAATACCACTCACATAGTTCTTCAAACGTCGGGGTCAAGGCAAGTCCAAGTCCTACAAACACATGGCAAAGTCTATTGAATGCACTTCTCAAAACAAGTCTTTCATGCATGCAAATGGCCTCGACATTCTTCAAAAACTAAGTCAAATCAAATCAAAACACAGTTTCTTATCGCTGGAAAACAAGTTGGGCAACTACCAGGTCTAGGCCGAGGTCCCACACCTCCTTGCCGAGGTGTGGCCTCGATGGCCACAGTCAAGGAAATGAAGTCGAGAAAATCTGGGTTCCCCTCTCTTGAAGAACATGAACATGATGAACATGAATGCTAAAATCATACTTCTTTATTCAAAATCTGAGTTTTTATGAGATGAGTTTGTAAACATGGACCTGGGTACCCATACTCGAAGATCTTATGAAGGCAAACACAAAAACATGGATCTTGACGCAAGCTTTCAGATCAAAACATGGTTTTATTTCAAGAACACGAGAACACCAATTTCTCTTTCTAAAACAAGCTTTAAATCAATGCATGGCTTATGAATCATGCTAGATCGTGCAATGTGATCGGATCAATATAAAGAACAACAAAAGTAGATCAAGAATCTAACCTCAAAACACGAATCAAACG